TTCTTTTTCTCCTCTTTTCAGCTTCTTCTGGAGTATCATGTAGACCAGTGATTCTATTCACTAATGCATCAACTTTTCGATCACTCATATCAGCTAAATCATCATAATTGACATGATTCACTGATATTTTACCAGTTGATAACCAGTTAATCAACTTCGCTTGCTCGATTTCAGTTGTTATTAACTGATACTTCGTTGATTTATCTTTTAATCCTGGATAATCTTTTGTCCGAACGAATCGTTTCTTTAAGTCTTTAAAAAACTGATAATCGGCCACGATTTCTCTCGTCACAATCCACTGAGTATAGAGAGCAATGAGTTTCTCAGGTATAAATGTTGCTTTTTCAATAATTTGTCTTAATTTTCGTTCTTCTTCTTTGAATCCTTTGTTATCTAGAACACCGAGATAATACCCAACCGATCCATACTGCTGTAATAAATATCCAATTTCACTCCACTTTTGTTTTTGAGCAATAGAAATCCATTCGCTTAAGCCAATCTTCACTAATTGCTCCGATCCATTCGATGCATGTTGAAGCATAAGAATAATTTTGTAAAGATCTTCTTCATCAATCGGCGAACGATATTCGCTTACTTTCACTGCTAGTAAAGCCTTAAAACGAATATTTGGTATCAACTGAATGCCACCGAAAATTCTTGATGCAACACTGAATCGTCTTCCGAAATAATATTCAAGTCGAATATATAAGAGAACATCGACAAATTTCGATTGTGGAACTGAATTTACAAGTAAAAGAAGGTATTTCATATCACAATGATGTAATGTTTTCAAACTGGAAACTGATGTGAAGATAAATTGTAGTTCGAACAATGAAAGGTGACAACCGTCGACCCATAGCCGGTAATAAAGAAGATGAAGAAGTGATTGGTCTTGAGTGACGTTGATATAATTTTCAATCCATTCGATGACAGCACCGTGGAGCGGTGGAGAAAAGAACGATGCGAACGTAGACATGTTCTCCTTCGTGCTGAAGTCTCTCTTGACTTGAACTTGCATTTCAGCAGCCAAAAGGTTTTCGTACTTCGATACTATCGATGTTTGAGCAGCCACTAATATTCGGAATTCTTCATCAGGTGCAATGCCGATCGGTGGTCGTTCATTCTGTAGCCATAATGTTTCACAGGAAGAAGCCTGTCGATTGAGAATTTCCACGTTTTCTAATGTTTGAAAACTGATCTGTCGATAGGAACATAATTTGATGTTCAAATGAAGTGACAGAAGATACCGAAACGGTGCACAAGCCAGGCCGTGTTCCAACATGTAAACTTCACATTGATTACTGTCGGATGGTACAGGATAATGGTTCTGCTGGGTCAGGAACCATTCGAGTTCATTTGAATTATCAAAATATATATCCGATGAATATTTGCCCTGTTCTTTCAACATCATCGCATTCATAATATAAAGCTTTTGATTGTAGACAAGAAGCGATTTTGCTAAATAGTATATTTTAATCAGATGTTGTGTTTGTTCAATTGCCTTATCGTCATTCGATGAGCCGAAAGCAAATGATTTGGCACTACTGATTAAACCACTTTTGTCGAAGTTTGGAGGAGTACCAAATCTGGCCAAATACTCTTTGTTGTTCGAAATCAGTTGATTAACTGGTTTGATAATTTGATTCCAATATTCCAAATCAGCCACGACTGCTTTAACAAGATTTTCAAATTCAGACTCCAATTTCGTTTTCTGTCGATCCTGATGACTTTCTGGTCGCTCAGTTTCATCTTTACTTTCGCCGGCGTGCTTCTTATCTTTCTTCTCCTTCTTTTGTTTCTTTAATAAAGCATCTTCCAGAAGCCATGTTTTCAAACTATCCAAAAACTCCTGAACAATATCTCTATCCGTCCACTGAAAGTGCGCGTCTTGAACGAACGATGCCAATGATGAAATATAATTTGGCTTGACGTTTTTCACAAATGTATTTAAAGCACCTAAAAGCTGAATATCCACCTCATTCGCCGAATATTGTGAGAAGAATGCTTTGATGACTATCTTAACATTGTTCGGATCGGTGTAAGGAAGCAGCGTACTACTTAATGGATTTTCTTTGATGCCAAAATAACTGTTAGCAGCGGGCATGAGGTCCATTGATGGATGCACATCTACAGTATCTACTTCTTTGGAAATGTCTCGTAATTGATGGCGCAAACGAGAAAGGTTGAATTTTCGTTTGCGACGTTCGGATAAACTTGAGCTGAATTCTTTGATTTCATCGTAACTCTTCCCATTGGCAATTTTCGATTGAAGAGTAGCGACTAAGACAAGAGCAAATGAAGATTGCATTTGTTGACGATACCGCATCTGATGAAAGAGTGTATTCAAAGCAATCGTTTCCAACAATGCCGGCGGAAATTCCACGCTGAATAGATCAAACAGAATCTGCGCGCAGTTGTTCACTGTTGTTCGACGCCCAACAGATTTCACATAATCAACATACGTTTCAGGAGTATAAGCAGGACGTTTCTAAAACAATTCAAATTATCTGAACACATAAATGAGGGTCTAACAGTTACTTACTTTCTTTTCACTGTCAGGCGTATATTTTGATAATTTACTTGTTTCTTCTTTCTGTCGTAGTATTACCACTTCTTCGGCAACATTTTCTGCTGTCTCCTCCTCCTTTTCTTCTTCGTCTTCACCGATGGCTGCATGTTTCGTTGTCTCACATGCATCAGCGAGAAAGGCATTCTGCTTTCCAAAGACAGTTTGCGCTTCGGATAAAACCTTGCTAATGACAATCGATTGTTTTGCCACGGCTTTTGAAGTAGATGATTGAACAGTTTCTCTTCTCTCTGCTTGCTCTGCACATCGTTGTGTCTGATCAATTGTTTCCCCGTCGCGGAACTTGATAAAACAGGCACTTTCTTTTTCTTTATAACGCCGATAACCATTCAAACGACTTTTGAATTCAGCTTTGTAAAAATAATCCCAATTCAGTTTTCTTTCTGAACTACCTTCGTAGTGTTTTGAGGCTTCTTGTGCTGATCTATCTATTAGGCCCATATCGTTTCCATTGATACCGTGTCTGCCGCTCTGACCAACTTTTCCATTGTCACCATTAGGTCCACTTTTGTTACCATGTCGTATGATATTTATTTGAAATTCTTCACCAGTTTCAGGATTTTGAGCTGTACAGCTCCCATTATAACCACCTTGACCACCAACACCATTGCTTCCACCTCGCGTCCCACTGGTTCCTTTGGATCCGCATATGAAAAAATAGAGTTCGTACGTTGAATAAGTCCATCCTTTGTCAGCAGCAAACGAATAGGTCATCGTACGACCATTTTCGTCTTCGTATGTTCGATAAATATACTCTCCACTACTACTAGAATCACTTTTTCTCGACCAATTGGAAGGTGGCGAATAATTTGCAAAATTTGACCAGGAATCACGGTATAAACTGTAATAGTTAACAACCAACTTGTCAAGATCAGATTTTGTAACACCGACACCATCTTTTCCATCACAGCCGTCACCACCATCTTGTCCGTCTTCGCCCCTTCCACCATTCAATTCGATCGTTAATTTTGAAGGATTCAACATTTTCGTTGCTAATATAGCAATATTTCCACTAGATTCGCCGGCTCGACCATCCGTACCGTCTGCACCTCTGTATGCTGTCGACGTTGCACTCGCAGCCTTTGTGTTTCCTGGACTGTACCCTGCACCCGACAACCGAATCCTTGAATTTTGTCCGATATAAATCACTTTGGCGTGTAAAATTAAAATCTTTCCTTCCCATATCTTGTTAGTTAGATCACAATCAATAGTTAAAGCATCCTCAGCGAAAATGGATGCCTGAGTTGCATTGTGCGCTTTCATCAAATCTTCAATCTGTTTTGCCCATTCACTTAGATAAACAATTCTTCCAAGAAGTTTCACGGCACCATCTTTGACAGTAAGTTCGGGAATAGCCAGAAATATATCGAGAATTGTTTGAATCTTGTTGGGTTCGACAAAATTATCAGTCTTTATATCATTCAATAGACGTTGCAATTGCCGCCAATTAGTATCATTTTCAGCAGAAGGTGGACATTTTAGGTTTTTCAAGTTGAGAACAGTTAGACCGCTTTGCTTCCATTCAATGAGAACTTTCCATGCAGCTAACGGCATGAATCCGCTTTGAAACCATTGGACAAGAAAACTACGAAATTTATCTTCACTTTGAGCAGGTACGAATTTTTCCCGTAATCTGATAAAAAGTCGGTTGAATTCGATCAGTAAACTTCCAACAGCATCCTCGACTTTCAGATTAATTAATCGAGTTTGTAAATCTGGTGGGAAAATATCTATAAGCTTATCTGCTTGTTCAGCAGCAATAAATCTTCGAATAAAATCACTTGATCCATTTTGAAGATTGGATGCTATCCAATTATTAGCTGTAATGCGACAGAGATTTTTATTCTGTCGAATGAATTCTTTGACGACGAAAGATTCGATGAGAGATGATAGGTCAGATTCACCACTAGAGAATAGCTCTTTAATCAATCCGTCGGCGGTTAAGTTTGCATTTTTTGTTACTGAATCGCCTATAGCCAATTGCAGTTCTTCCTGTGTGTACTGATAAGTCATGTAATCAATTAAGGAAGCTTTTCAAAATTAAGTGCTTCAGTATTCAACTCTATCAATTGAAATGGTTCTGAATTCTATCTGAAAAGATAAAAATTATTTTCGTCAAGGGCATTGCGTTTCGAATGTATGAAAACATTTATTTGAATGTATGATGAAAGTTTAAGTTGGCTGCAACAAATATCGATCTATAAGGTCATGCGTATAAGCTGCAACACAAGGATTACAGTTCGGTAACTAAGTGGAAAATGAGGAAAAAATCTTGATTTTCGATTGTCGCAGTCTATTGTAAATGTTGTTAGAATGAACAAATATATGAAGTAGAAAAATGTCAAATCGCATCACACAATCATACTTTCTCAGCAACTGTTCATATCTATGTTATTTTGGAAAGTGTGAGGCCCTTCTTTGCTCGTTACCGAAAGTGAAACCAACATGAAGACGCTGCCCAAAACTTCGTGCATAAGATTGTTTAAGACCACCTGTTTGATTATGACTTGTTCCGATGTAATTTTCTGTTGTGAAAATATCAGTTGCATATTTACCAAAATATTCATCGATTGTTAGTGCTCGACCTGGAACAAAATCTTTTTCATGCTTCCACCAATGATAAGCCATAGAAAGAGGACTACTCCATTGACATCTGGTTTCTGCAGGAAGCGCATTCACTGCATTGATTCTTGCGTTGAAATCATTTCGAAATTTTTCATAATGTTCACCACTACCGGAAGCCACACCATCGACAAAGGCTTTACGTTGGACATTACCTTTAAGGCCTCCCTACAAGAAAAACTTAACAACTGCGAATCATAAGAAACAAGCAATACTCTTGCCGCATCCAGAGCTTCTGTAATCGACGCTATATCACTGGGTGTTCTAACTTGTCCTGCGAAAGCAGGATCATTTCCAAGTTTTTCGGCAGCAGTTAATAAACTCGGACCTCGGTCACCGTATGTTTTCAGAACACGATTTAACCGATCATAATCACTAGTCTTCATATTCGCGAATATTCTTTGACCTTTCACAGTAATATCTTCATGATTGGCTACTCCAAAAGTATCTGCTAAAGTCTTTTTCACATCTTCAACATTAACACGATAACATAAACGTTCATTTCTTGCGTTCGTAAATGTGTCAATGTCCTTTTTGAAGGCAGCATCATTCGCAGAGTTACTCGCGTCATCTCGATGATCGGCTGATGATTTGAAAAAATATTCTTTCCGATGGCTTGAACACTTGTCTAATTGCTGTTGCAATTGGTTTTGTTCATCAGCTGTAATTGTACCATTCAGTTGTTTTTTTGCTAGATCCCCTAGCTGCTTAAAATCAGTTTTTTTTTCATCTGTACCACTTCCTTGTCCTAGATCTCCGATCATGTCATCGATTTTTTTATTCAAGGCATTTTGAGATGTTGATTTTGCCTTGTTCCATGATTCATCAAAATTTCTTTGAGCTTGGCCATTCTCAGGTGTAAACTCATGGACAAGATTTCTCGTCGCTTCCTGTTGTTGTTCGACAGGCAAATTCTTTATATCGTTCAGTTTACTTTCGAATTCTTGTCTTCTCTCAGGGGGCACCTGATCGGCAAACTCGTCCATTAAGCTGGTGTGCAATGCACTTGCCTGAGATTTCGAAATTTGATTGAGTTTTTCTGTAAATACCGCTTTGCCAATATCATTATAAGCTAATGGAGAAATATCAATCTTTCCGTTAACAGCGAGTCCATCAGCAGTACAAGTAACCTGACTACCAGTTTTGCGAATCAATTCAAAAAATTCTGTAGGATTTTCAATCTTGTTAAGATTCCGAATCACGTATGCTTTGTCATCAGATGTTGCATGCGATTCTAGCATTTTTGACATTTCTTCTTTTGCTTCATCAGACTAGAAGCTCCATCAGTATCGATAAATACTAGTTTAGAACAATTCTTACTTTGAGGCTTTTTTCCATTTGTTTCAAGTGTTGCATTTGCTCTGATTCAAAAACAGCTTTCAGAGTTTTCGGTTTTGTAGAAACGTTCATGAGCATGAATAGACTCATCGATAGTTGATAGTAATCTAGCCATGTACGTTCTCGTTTAGTCACGAGATCGTATATGGACGAAAGTAATGCAAGTGAACTAGAGCAAATCGTAAAAACATTGGCTATAGCAAACATAGCTCTCTGTGCTGCACCAATTTCTAAAAATGAACGACGTTTTAGCAAATGAAATAAAGTGACACGAGTAGCTCACTTTCCATAACTTCAGCATATGTTTTCCCTTCTCGTGCGTATCGTACGGCCTGTGTTCGCAGTACTCCAGTGTAGTTAGATAATGCTGCGGAGATTAAAATCAAAACGTCAGTGCGAATGCTTTCGTCGTGTAATGTTTTGTCATAAATTCCCACACCAGCTCTAAAACAAACGGAAACAACTAGGTGAATAGACCATTATTAGATACTTGGCTAGAACTTACCCAACTACGTTGTAGCCTGTAAGAAAAAAAGAGCCCGCTTGAATTACAGCCATGGCTCGTGCAGAAAATAGGGCTGGAGCAAAAAATGTGACAACACCTGTCACGGACAGAACTATTCCACCAACCATAACAACTGTATCACCGATAGCTTTAACACGTTGAGATAGATTACAGGAGGGCGTTTCGCCCAGTTCTAAAGGTACTCGTCCATTGTTGTTTTTCTCGGCAACTATATATGTTCCATTGACAGGACCCAAGGTAGCGACCTTATGTAATGTATTGTTTTCTTTATAATCTTGAAAGTCAACGTAAGTTCTGCCATTTTTATCAATGTATTTTTTACGACCGTTGATTCGAAACACTACGAGTATTTGAATTACATGATACAATATTTCAAATATATTCTTTACCTGGCTCTTCACTTGCATAGACTTTATCATCTTTTTCCATCAAAGTTGCAGTTGATATATAAATAACACTCATGAGGATTTTTTCAGAACTATTTGAATGTTCGATAATTTTCTTCTTTAGTTTGCGAACGTGAAGTCTTTCACCACGTTCATAACTATTAAAAGGCGACGAAGGAGTTGCTTTAGTGCCTTTCTAAAATAGTCAAATGACTGCATTACTCAATGTATACAAATTAACGAAACCTCTGGCGTTCTGACACCGTAAATTGTCACTGCAATTCTTAACTCCAGATCACCTCCATCTGCACGTTCATAGGCAAACCATTCTGTATGATTATTATCCTTCACGTGAGCATCTTGCATTTTGATAGCATCGTCTTTCCATTTTTGTAGCCGTTCATCATTCCAGTTAAAATAAGTTCTACCTTTTGGATTACCTTCCGGAGCAGAGACATATTCTGGTGTCCACGGAGGCATCTCTGATTTATATATCTGAAGATGAAATAAAACAAAAAGAAACTGAAAATAGTGACATTTGAAACGTTTAGGAACGAAGCTGTTGGATGAGGAGGCGGAAATATAATCAGAAAGCGAAACGTGTATCTAAGTTAATTCTTCTCTGAGATGTTCGTAAATCTTCCATATCCAAGTCATAAGACAAGTACGAACGTCCGATCTGATGCTGTGGAGCTAAATTCTCGCCGGTATGCAATTGAAACGGTATAGTTCTTTTACGACGTAGATTAATTTCATCTGAATGCAGGCGCTCTCTTCATTCGTCAGCACTGACAATTGTGTACTTGTATACAATGAAACTTGCGTTTCGTTAATTCTTTTATCTTTTTATCTAAACTGATAGTGTTGCTTACTCTGCGTGGGTAAAATCACATAATGGGCAGCTTCATATCCATCGATGTGAAACCTTATCTTTGATCTTGAGTGTGGGTGAGGGTGAGGGTGTGGGTGTAGCCGACAATGGCATTGTCGGGGCAATTTGAAGGGTATCCCTTGCCGTCAGTTGGCTGATAAGTCGTAGTCTTATAGTGGGTAAATAATTATGTAGTATTTAATAGTCAGATGCCGATAACTTGATAGTCCGTTGATTGATAGTAAGTAATCGGTTGGTAGATTTTTCATTAGCAGTTACATCATAGTTAATGATTAGTCGCTCAAGGATTTACGATCAATCACTGACGAGTTGATAAGCGGAAAATTCGAAACTTGGAATTCTAGATTTAGAAGTTTGAAAGTTTAAAACTTGAATACTCGAATTCTAAATTTAGAAGTTTAGAATTCGAACGAAAGTTTTAAAACTCGAATCGAATTAACGATTTCTACACTACTCGTTTAAAATAATGAACATGTTTTCTTTAATAAAGAATGTAACAAGAAGTGAAAAACTGATTTAAATCGTATACAAATCATGATAATTCATTCCTATAACTAAAAAACTTCTAACAAATCCTGCTTTCACAGTTAGTTCAATATTTATTTTGCATTGTACAACAAAATAAATCAATTTCAACTGATAATGAAATACCAAAATGAAATGCACGAATTGTATCGATCTTTTCAATTAAAGATGAATGGTGATATTTTAACCACGAAGTTGAATAAAAAAAAGAAAAGAACAATTTTTTGAAATAAAAATTTGATATTCACAATGTATATCCAGTTAAGCATTTGATTTCACCTATGCAAATAAAAATAAAGATCAGATACTTTCAATAAGAAAAAATCATTTACGATTAGTGTGCCAACATCTATAAGGGCTATATTCACAATATCGCGTGGACGTTTCTTCTCTGTTACCGCCTTTAATTGTATAAATCCTTGAGTGATACAAAGGTTCGTATTGAAATATGCTGCCGCGTGGTATCCTTGGATCAGGTCACTTTCCATTTTACGATTATGGCACCATTCGGTTGAACTTGTTCATTCAAGGTGAAGAAAGACGTAGAATAATAGAATCCACTTTAGATAACGTGAAGCAGCTTGAATATGTGCAGAGAGCGAGTATAAAAGGAAGAAGAATGATAGAGAAAGAGAGAGTCGTCGTGTGAGAGTGGTCGACTAAGTGAAGTTGGAGTAAGTCAACGAATTCATACACATATCCAGAGATATTTCCTCCAATATTGCCCTCTTGACCTGAATCCTGAACCCAATCTACAAGTTAATTGTATCCCGGACTGAACCTATTTCCTTGTCATATTATTATATGGTGTTATATCTCTGATTGTATGTGTGATCCTCTCTTCCTTTATTCAAATAAACATCGATGAACTCGTAGCAACTTATAAGCCCCAAAACAATTGAAGTTGTAAGTTCTCCAACTACATATCCAAACAAACAAAGTTGTTACAATTACCCTAATAAATCCATGATATAATAATATATACATAGAAATAATTACTAAGTCTACAAGAATCTTATCCGGTCGATATAGAATTACATTCACCATCACGAATCTAAGCAACAATGACAAACTTTAATTCAAATCTTATCAGTATCTCTTACTTGAAACGAAGGCACGAAAATGAATCATCATTGTTCTTATCTAATGACGTAAGATAAACAATTCAAAGATATCTTATATAAAATCTTTCAAAAAAAGCCATGTTTATTTCAGTTTTTTTTGTCGACTAATATAAATTTTATTTATGTCTATAAATTCAGCTTATATTGATGAAAAGTTCGTGTCTGATTATAAGAAAACATTCGGCCAGACAATACAACATGCAGGTACTGATATGCACATTCGAGTGGATCCAAATCGATCACTTTATGATGAACTTGATCAACGAGGATTACTTGAACGTCCACGAATACCAACTGGTCTTGGATATAATCTCATTCAAGATGGTCAACTTGGTTTAGCGATGTTCAATCGTAGTCCAAGATTTCTTGCACCTGGTCGATATACATTCTATTCTCCATTCAATCATTTAGTTAGTACAGTTAGTATTACTGATAAGTTGATTACGTTAGGTAATATTCAAATTGTAACAATCAATCAAGGAGAACTTGGATTAAGTCTTCGAAATGGTGAAAGTATTTTGCTTGACCCTGGTCGTTATATTTTAACTGCACCACATATATTTAAAAGAAGTACTCCAGCGAATGCTCAATATATTGAATTAGGAACTTATCGTCGGATAACTGTACCTGTCGGATTTGTTGCGGTGGCATTCGATATTGGTAAGCAGATTATTATTCGACCTGAAGATACTGAAACAGGTCCATTTGAAACAAATTCACCTACGTTTCTATTTGATACGAAAACTGGTTTTCAATCAGTTCAACTTCAAGTGAGAGAACTTGATGAATTGATAGTTAATACTCGAGATGGAATCACAATTATAGCAAAAGGTCTTATTACTTATCGTATTCATGAGCCACGAATAGCATTTATGACTGTACAAGATATTCATGAAGCAGTTAAACGAGCAGCAGAAGCAACGCTCACGTCGCTTTTTCTCAATGCTGCTATCGATGAAATCGCACCATCTGCTCCAGCAAAATTCACAGAAAATAACACGACAAGTGTTACATCGGTTTCTGAAGAAAGTAATTTCAATCAACATATTCGTACTGCATTTCTTCACGATTTTTCACGCAAAGTAAAGCAATGGGGCATTGAACTGCAGGATTTAAATATCGAAAAACTTGAATTCGATAATAGTGTGAAAGATCTTTTAAGAAGACGAGCACAAGCACGTGTCGAAACTGCTACTAGTCTTGCTAATATGCGTTCACAAACAGACATTGCCATGCAACAAGCCGAACGAGAAAAACAGCAAGCACAAATTCGTGCAGAAGCTGAAGCATATGTTATACGAACAAAAGCTGATGCTGATTTTTATGCTGCTGAACGTCATGCACAGGCAGCAAAAGTCTTACAAGAAGTCCCACTATCAGCTCAAATTGAACTTAAAAAACTTGATGTTGAAATGATAAAAGCTACAGGTGATCGAACAACATTCTTACCGATGAATCTTCATATAGGAGATATTGGAATGATTGATAAACAAAATAATAAAATTTATTTTGCAACAAATACTGTTAGTAATACTTAATGGTCATTTTTAACAAGACTTTGCAAAAAAAGAAATTATTTTATTTTTCAAGTTATCTGTTTTCTAAATCAATAATATAAAGATTACCTTTACGATATTCTAATTGACTGAAAACAAACACGCCTATTCTCTTCCTCTCGAACATAATATCTATATGTCGCAGGCAACTATTCAGAATGCAATTGAATTCGAAATCGTCCTAATTCACATAGAAATTCTGATCTTAATTCTTACTAATATGATATAGAACAGTCGTTATGACGAACACTTACAAAAAAATCAAACATATAAATAAGTCTACAATCGTTCGTAGTCTGTAACACCCTCACCCATAATATTATAAGAATATTTTTGACAATATCGAAAGTTTTATTAATGCTCTTCTTTTTATTTGAAATTTAATATGAGAGAACACTAACACACAGATTCACGAAGAGTGACGGCAGACTCAAACCGTTTCTTCATGTATGATGCAATAACTAAGAAACATTGCATGAGTGATTATGAGGAAAGACAGAACAGAAAAGACTGTTCTGAATTCATCTTTCGGTAGTATGGCCGAGCGGTCTATGGCGGCAGTTTTAAGCACTGCTCTTTCGTGGGTTCGAATCCTACTACTACCAATTACTGATTGATTTTTTAAAACTTAATTAATGAAATATTGTTCAATTCATGGAAAACAAAAAACGAATCAAATATAAAATATGAAAAAGTTTCTCAATTGTCATCGATTGATTTAATGCACAGATAGAATAAAGTCAAAGGACGGGGGCGTATAAGGCCGTAAAACGGCCCATTTCAAAATCAACTTGGCAAATACCAAAAACGATGCAGAATGAGACGGAGAATCTTTCTACGCCAAATTCCAGTCAATTGGGAACCGTATAAAAGGTTTCCGATGGACAATACTACTTGGTATTTTTACCCTATTATGGTAGCGTCTTTTCAAAGATCTCATAACAAAAATTCTTTCATATCATCTACCAAACAAGTAACGCTCATCCTTTGGATTCGCTGACCCTTTTCTGAAAGACTTTTACGAATGTTAAACACATTCAGCGACTTTGAAAGAGAAAAAAACGCACTGCGATTGCTACTAGTGCTCAACTGAATCATGGCACTATGTCACACACTAGAATGAATAGAATGCAAAAGTCTTTTTAGGAATCAGACCGATTAGTCATTTGTCAGTGAAGAATTCTCCAGCACTAACTATATTGACTGAAAAATTCATCACTCAACGGCTAGTCAGACGGCCAACCATTGACCTTTGTCCTCTGTTCTTCTTTTTTCACATCACGCGCATGGAAATGTTCATAAATGCTATACTAAGTCACTCATAGACGGACGATATACAGTAGACTACTTGAAAAGTTTGAACATTCGCCAGTGTCTTCCGGCGATAAACCGATTCTTTTCTCTCCTGTCAACAAAATGATACCTTGTCGAATATTTTCATTGAGGAATATCCATTCGTCAAATCCCTTTCAAAATTATCTGAAGCCTGGCAGGATTATTCTAAGCGTACACTTTATGATTAATCTAGCATTTAAACGCCTAGTCGTTCGTCGACCTCCCTCCTGTCGGTCACTCACGGCTAGCCGTTGACGCACATGGTCAGTTTTATAGTTTTTCCATATAAAGAAGTAGCTCGTTGATACTGAGTCGATCTGTGATCGAAGTTTTCAAAACCCTTCGTAACTGTGTAGTTTACAGTACATATTCTATTGCTCTGTTCAATTTGAAGCGCTGATAATGTGCAATCCCTATTCTCGAAGCTCGAAAACACATAAATTATGTTCGGTCAAAAACCATTGGCTTTAGTTGAGACAGTGATAAATCTCATGTTTCAAGTAATTTTCAAAACAAACGTCTAGTCGTTCGCCGACCTCCCTCCGGTCGGTCACTTACGGTTAGCCGTTTCCATGCTGTCTCTGCTATTCCTTTCGCCTACGATCGACTTTTAAACTGAACGATTGGGTTTTCTTTTATTGTCGCTTCCACAGTCATGATCTTCTATTCATTCGACTACCAAAAGAAACTACATAAGAAAGTCTTATTGTATGATTTGCTTCGAAACGAACATCTTTCATAGCGCTGCATGTGTTCAGAATACTGTTTCTATAGTCCACGCGTCTGTAGTTACTAAGATGGAATTCCGCCGACGGCTATATCGCTTTGCGAACTACTTCTACTAAATTCCCATGAAAGGACATGATGTAAGTAGCCTATAAAGCAAAGATGATACTAAGCTCATATCACTTTTTCGGATTTCTAGAATTAGAAACATCATTATGTACAGTGCATTAGATCTTTTCGTGTAAGTTCTTGAGCTACTATCTTTGTACACATGACGTCCGTGAATAGCGCTCAGCTCACCATCTGCTACAAAAGGTTTTAGAACGGATAAAGAAAAATATCTTCTTTGTAAAGAGGAAGGAACAAGCCTAGGCCCAGCGAATAAAACGAAATTCGCCCTAAAATTCGAATTTCCCGACGTCAGAAACACTTCAGTCTACTCTGAAAATGGATGTTAATAAGTCGTGGCTAGTTAATGAAAAACTAATAATTAATTAAGCAACGCTAACGTCGGATTCATGATCCTCGACCCCGATTACCCTTCGGTCGACCCTTACTCGACAACAACAAAATTTTTCATTTCCTAATTAGTAATTGGCTAATTAGAATTTCGAGAAACTGACACCGGATTCGAGTTCCTCGACCTCGATTGCATATGGTGAGTCATTCCCGTATGACTATTGTGAAGTTTTCTTTGAGTTGTCAAATGCTGTAATCTGATTGGCTTGGACAGACAAACTTTTAGCATTTTGAGCCGTCGGTTTAATCGCTGTATAACCCTTTCTTTCAGAAAAGGGAATTATAGCTACTTTGAATCAGTCTCACTTAATATCACTCACCCTCAAGTAGATCGATCAACTCTCTAAAGATTTAACCCTGTAACATGCACTTATTCAATTTTATTTATTCCAAACACAATCTGATCAGAACTAACTTCACCCTAAAACCGGTTATTAGTCGTCTTTCTCATTTATTTCGATTCGATAAAGCACCGTTGGAAGTTTAAAAATAGTCCCTCAAGAAGCGAAGCGACTTCAGCGAAGAATCCAACCGTTTTCCGACAACCATTCCTTCTCAACGTTGGTTAAGTTTCTGAAGCCATGTTTCCATTCTCCGTTAATGTAGAGAGCACTGCCATCTTTGAAATGAGCATGGATGTAGCGATCATACCTTTCGGGACAAGCAGGATCGATGCGCTCTATCGTTCGACCAGCAGGATGACTGCGTAGATCTCTATTCATTTGATTCACGCTTTTAGTGTTCGCCATTCTATAATAACCGTGTAAGATCATAGAATTCATCTGGTGCAGAAAAGTAAATCTACTTACGCTGTTAGTGCAACTGAAATATACGTGCCTTGTGTGTGCTCTGGCCCGATTTTACTTTGTATTTATAGCGGATGACACTACGATTTTGGTGGGAAATACCCAAAAAAATGCCGATAAAGGAAAAAGAAAATGTCCTTATATGGAAGTTTTCTTTTTCCTTTGTCGACATTTTCTTTTTGTGTATTTTCTTTGATACCTTGTTCCTCTCCTTGATAAAGGTTTTTCCCCTGACTCTTAAATTTCCAACCGTCTTTCACGTAAGATATCTTTGTGAAGGATTCAACCTTTTCTTGAGCGGATTCATTTCAGTGTAGGTTCCAATCGAACTAGCACAGGTTCCAAGTACAACTTGATGAGCTCTATCGGTTCCAAAAACAAAATTTTTTAAAAAATCTCTCCTTTATCCCACAAAACCCAAAAAATCTAAAAAAAACACCCAAAAAACGTCAAAACTTTTAGAAAGACTCGGACGAATTCGTCTAGCAATCACAAACCTCGATTTCCACACTTGTTCCAGATCAAACTCGACGAGCTCTATCGGTTCCAATGATAAAAACTTTTACTCCCACCCACATCCACACCTTCATTTAAATTGTCCTCAAAGATTATCTGTTGATCGATAAGTACAAATTTATATGGCAGCTTGTGCCAATCATCCGGTAATACGTTGGTATGAAGGAAATGAGGAAACCGAAATAATACACAAAATGAACTGAATTGTTCAGAATTTTTTTCATTTGATTTCGAATAAATCCTTTCTGTTGTAGATCGGAACAATAATTAGATCGTTCAATTTAAAAAAATCAGCTAAAGATTTTTCCACCGTTCATTTATTTTAAAATCTTTCAAAAGACATTGATAAAAATTAAATACACTTCAAATTTATATTAATCAAATAGTTCGTTATCTTAAAAAGTAATCTTTCTGTTTGTGATGCAGAAGCGTTCTTCTTCTCATACCTCCACTAAGCCCCTTTCTATACTGCAAACCCTATGGCTTGTACTTTAGCAAGCGTAAAAGAATTTCGAAGAGAGCCCTCTAATATGTCTTGTGATTTTCACAGAGGTTCAGATGCCCAGATTTCACAAGTTTTTAATAGATAAGCTATAGTTTTCCGATACTTTATCACTTTGTACGTTAAGATATTGTTACGTTTCAATCTTCATGATGAAAAAGTTCATAAATTTCACAAGAAAGTTCTCAAAACAATTTAAGAGGCAGGACTTTTATGGGAGGTCACTCGATATTTGATGGATTGAGCGGGAGCTTTAAGACTAATAAGACAATTTAGCTTAATATTATCCAGATCTTATTTAAATGATTTGTAACTTCACATGTTCAAAGCCGTATTTTGCTTTATTTGTATTATACAACTCTTCAATTGTTTGAAGATATTGATCATGGAGTTGATCGATATCTATTTGAGATGGACTAATGACTTGTTTGACATGAATTGGTTTACCGACTAATAAAATATATTTAATCACATGAAAAACATAGTCTTTTTCTTACCAACAGTTGTTACAGGGTGACGAAGAGGTAGATAACCAATGATTGATCGTCCCCAAATAAATCGATTTGAAATGCAATTCTTATATAGCCAATAATGTTCATTTTCTCCAAACGTTATTACCGGTACTAATGATGTACTATAATAAATAAAAATGTCTTCTTTTCTGTTCATTCTAATTGTATGTATTTGCTCACCCATTTTCTAATGATAATCGTATAAAACCTTTTCTATTTTTTAAATAGAACGTCATCTTTTCATATTCTGTCGAATACAACTCTCGCATGCCACCACAAACAATAATAACAGCATTACCCTGACCAGCTGATCCATTTAAGAAATATTGACAACTCTCTCTTGAGACAGAACATTCACCTAAGACAACGAAAAATTTAACGACGAATTTATAAGCTTATAATTCTTACCTAAACCAAGTATTAATTCACGTAAAACTGGGAAGAAAAAATTGGAATGAAGCGCCATCAAATGAGGGTGAATACCAGGAAATAGAGTTGAAAAATGTGTTGCTTCTGTTAAGAAATTGATTCCAGCACCGAGAGTAATCGTACCATGTGGATGACAACCGAAGATGTAGTTTCGACTTGGATCGAGATCTTCAGTTTTGACTAATTTTATTGGAAAATAATTAGAAACTATTGACCAAATATATAATTGACGTAAACGAATCGACCATCGACCTCCTCGAACCGGTGTTTGTCGATCAATATACATCCAACTACCATAAATCAAAGCGATGAATAATGTTTTCGATAAAGACCAGAAATAGCATAAGAGAATGAATGTGAACAGTATCATAAAAGGTGATAAAAATAAGAGTGTGAAATGAAAGAAAAAAACCAAGTCTTCAATGAAATTCTTCATTGTTATCGAAAATCAATTCCAACTATTAGAGACAAGGAAACATCATTCGCAAGGAAAGTTTATAATTTAACCACCAATCATGGGGTGTGATGTTCCCTGCTGTTGAGAAGTCCGGTTTTTGGTCTTTCAAAGTTCGCTCTCGACAGCACGGAAGGAAATCCTGTTTGTTTGTTGCTTTCTCTGTTCTTATTTAAGTATGAGTAACCGATAAGAGTCGAATGAAATCAGCTAACGGAAGATGTCCTCGATTGTTATCAATGCTAACCAAAGAAACGTGATTTATTTCATACGACTTCGCGATGGCTGTGTACGACAGAAAATTAGGGAGACGAGTCTACCGCTTCGTGTACATAAACAGTGTTTGTTTTTGACGGAGAAAATGTTTGATTTATTTGTGTCATTGAGAACGGTAGCCCCCCAATAAGTCGCATTCATCATCGGATGAACTTTCTATGTTCATCTGATTCAGTTGTATTCACAAAGGAAGCGATAAACCGTGCTGATGATGCATTCTTTTTCGCTTGAGGTAAAACGATATCCGACGCGAAATGTACCTATGTTCCATCTTGTCTGAGTTATTCTATATCGAAAAAGAAACAAAGTCAGTGATTGACATTTTGTATTTGACAGTACCATCGAGAATGTATTCTCGAGGTAATTGCATACTCAGTAAACATCTATCATGATTTTATGTAAGTGACCATATAAATTTTATAGTAAATACGACATTATATGATTATGATTTGGTGGGTTTTGATGTATGAAAATTCTGAGTTGTCGTGAACACATCATAACTATTTATTTCTTCTTTTTACTCAATCTTTCTCTGTGAATAATTATGAAAACTTAATCGTATATAAAGCAGCAGAAAAAGATTCAGCTTTAAATTGCTTGTGGCTCTTGACTTTGTCAAAGGCTCCATTTACACCATAGAAACATTAAAAACCAGTCATTTTCGAAGATGGATCAGCAAATGAACTGAAATAGATAATTTCCAATCGCTGTTCGAATCGATCTCTGACATGAATTTCTTAGCTACATCTCTGTTTTTTTTAATTTTCATGGTTGTTGTCATAAAGCCTATATTATCGATCTGATTATCTGTTATCCCTCAAGATCCACTCCATATTCTCCCCTACTCGTAGCCTGATTAGTAGCGCCCTCTGTTGGACATTTTTTGGCTTTTGTGAACAAAGTCTCTCGAATAAGAAAATAAACATCGTTACAACAATAATGTAGTCACTTATGCTCGCATTAAACTCGAATATAAAAATAAATTAGTTGCCAAGCATAAAAAGTATTTTCTAATTTCTTATTGAAGAAATAAAAAAAATGACTCATTGGTCATCAGAAATTGATTGTGGTGTGTTTGTTCGAATATATTTTCATTTGAAATAGTCGGATTTCAAATCGACTGTTGAAATACTTCATTTTTTCTCTTTCAGATTCAATCTATATCGATTCATCATAATGGCAGGCGAATATGATACAGCAATCACGGTATTTTCCCCCGATGGACGGCTCTTTCAAGTCGAATATGCACAAGAAGCTGTCAAGAAAGGATCAACTGCTGTTGGGGTACGTGGAAAAAATATCGTTGTCCTAGGTGTCGAAAAGAAGGCCGTCGCTGTTTTACAAGAAGATCGGTAAATTGATCTGATAGTTTTTTTTGCACTTGATCTTCAATAATTTATCTAGTACGGTTCGTAAAATCTGCGTCTTAGATGATCATGTCGCTATGGCATTTGCAGGCCTGACAGCTGATGCTCGTGTTTTAATGCATCGTGCTCGTATCGAATGTCAATCTCATCGATTGAACGTTGAAGATCCTGTTACTATTGAATACATTACTCGTTTCATTGCTGATCTACAACAGAAGTATACACAAGGCCGTGGTCGTCGCCCATTCGGTTTATCGACATTAATTGTTGGTTTCGACTATGATGGTACACCACGTCTTTATTCTACTGATCCGAGTGGTACCTATCACGAATGGAAAGCCAATGCTATTGGTCGACAAGCTAAAACTGTTCGTGAATACCTCGAAAAAGCCTACACGGAAACAATCTATGAATCAACTCACGAGTCAATCAAATTGTGCATTCGTGCTTTGTTGGAAGTTGTGCAAAGTGGATCGAAAAATGTTGAAATCGCTGTGATGGCCCGACATAAACCGTTGAAAACCTTGAGCGCTGAAGAAGTCGAGAAATATATCGCTGAAATCGAAAAAGAAAATGAAATCGAAGCCGAAAAGAAGAAACAAGCCAAACAAATAGGTGGAACATCAACAACCGCACCAACATTAACGACACAAACGTCGAAAAAAGAATAAACGAGACCAATAATAACAGCAACAACCGAAGAGCTCGGTGAACGAACTTCATTTTTTCCTTCTTAGACATTTTTTTTATTATAATTACTGTTGATTCTGCTGTTCTTTCATTTCTAATATATTAACACACACAAGCGTGCAGACAAACGCTTAGACAAGAGACACATAGTGTTGAAGTTCAACTTCTTCATTTCTAGATTATTGACATTCATTTCTTTCGACGATCAGAGTTTTTCCTTAACAAGTAGGTCGATCTATCCTCTGTTTGATTTCGTATAATCATCGCTGATTTATCAAAAGCGAATGCTATCATATCGCTCTATATTTAGAACAGTTCATCATGCCACTATTAGATGTTAATGCTATTGCTCTTCTTCATACACTTCTAACAACGAATTCCTTGTCACGTCTTTCAACTCTATGCGCATCTTTGCAAGCACCTATTGAACATATTTTATCTATTGTTGCCGCCCATCCTTTTGTGTTCGCTCGTCTTCGTGCTATTGATACACCTGGTGATGATCGTATAGCAGTTGTTCTTGATCTTACAAACTGTACGTTCTATGCCCGTCCACCAAATGGTTGTACAAAAGATAATGCCTGTCCTTATTTACATCTATGTCCGTCGGTGGTTTTGCCCAATCGTCGTTGTCAACGCCCACATGATTGTCCGCTGTCACATTCGCTTGATACAGAACATAATCGCCGAGTGATTATTGAACGCGGTCTGGAAAATCTACCGCAAAAAACTCTTATCATGCTTATTTTAGCATCTGCCGATCCAAGTAAAACAGTAAGACAAAATGAAAACCATTCTTTGATCTCTTTTCGTACATATCGAATCCATTCTCCTTTCAACAGTTTGCAGTTTGTCATCATAAGCCCAAACCATGTCGAGAACCTAATTGTGACGATTTACATCTGTGTTATTTTTATATGTGTTCACCACATTTATGCAAATATGGTGACTGTAAAGCTGGGCACTCGTTGGCAACACAACGAAATATCGATTATCTCGAACGTCGTGGTCTCGCACACGTTGAACCACTTGATATCGTAGCGCTTTTTCGTATTGTTGATGAAAATAAGTAAGTCATATTTTCAATAGATCAAATCACATTCATACTCTTCTCTTATTCTTAGAAAACATTCACACATCTATCGTTATCCATTAGAACAGCAACATCCCGCTCAGCCAATGATGATCATGACATTAATGATGGACGAACATGGACAACATCAACAGCAACCGATGATTATGTTTTGAGAAGCAAACAAATCAATCCGTGCAAACTCGGTTTTCCTTTCACTTTCTCGTTTTTTTTTGTTGATTTTCTTTATTTTTCTGGTCATTTGTTGTGATGCTGTTTTTTCTTCTTTTTCTCTTCTCGGGTGATCTCTCTCCAGTGCAATTCTTCTAGTAATGAAAACAGAAGAACAGATTCATTGACTTCTATTATACCATTTGTCATTTAGTACGTCTTTCTTTTATCGTATTTTAGTTTTTTTTGTTATCGTTAAAAACCAAAACATTAGTTTATTATCATATTCAATAACAAGAAAACAAAATACCGAACAAGAGATTATCAAATAAGCAGAGCTTTTCAGTTTTACTAAATAGATATCGTTCGTTAGAAAAGCGAACAACAAAATAGAAGTGAAAGTTGAATATTTTATTCTTTTCTTTTGATTTTTGTAGAATTACAAACGTGAAACTATGGATGAAGTGACGAGTCTACTGAGATATCTTCTCACAACCAAACATTCCATTGATACGCTAGATTCCATTGTTAATCAATTAAAAATTTCGAAAGAACGTATTCTACAATTGATTAATGAACAATCTTATAATGAATACTTTCAATTATTACGCCCTTTACTTCGTCATAATCAAATGATAGACAAAATCGCTTTGACATTAGACGTATGTATAGAAACGAAGACGAAAAAATGATTTCATAGAAAAAAATGTTTGTATTTCTAGCTTTTCTGTTGTACACACTACGCTCAACAATGTAAAAAACAATTCTGTCCGTTTTTGCATCTGTGCCCTTATAATATACGGCCAATGTATGCGAAATGTACAAATAAAACTTGTCCGTACGATCATGATATCTTCAAAAGTGTCCACAATCAGAGAATTTTGGATGCACGAGGTTTATCTTCAATTCCGGCAGTCGTTTTACACGAATTAGTTCGAGCGAGTGCTGACCCAATGCGATCGGTAAGAATTTTCTCTCTTCGAAAAAGTTCATTGATCAGTTGATTTAGTTTTGGGTGTGCACTGACCATGCGAAGAAAGGCGGTTGTCCGAAAAAGCAGTATTGCGATAAATTACATTACTGTTATTATGACTTAATAGGTTCTTGTACGAAACCTCAGTGTCAACATGCGGTCAATGATGCTTGTCTCATGTATTTTCGACAAAAAGAAATCAATGAGCAAAGTCATGATGACATTCTCGAAGCATTTAAGAAAGTTCTTCGACAACGGTAAGTTTTCTGGTGTGTAGAATTAGTCAATAAGCGGTGTTATTTGCTAGTAAACCTGATTTAATCGATATAAGCAATGTACAATCAGCGACAGCAAGTCCAAAAATCTCAAATTCAGCTCATAATCAACGGTAATGAATGATATTATCTGTAAAATTTCTCATAGTTTGGTTTCTTAGGAAATCAACAAATAATCAGCAGTCACGTGCTTCGCCTTCTTCACGAAGATCTACACCTATTGCGTCGGCATCAGCTTTATCAACCTACGATGATATTTTATCCTCGAAACTCGATACTTCACCGCCTTTACCTGATCATGAACAAGATATTATTCTATTAGATTCTTATAATAAAGATGATTATTCACAAACCGAACGTTACCTTTCAAATGAAATCGGATGTCCAGTTAAAATCTTAGCATCGAAAAACATTTTCTCAGAAAAGAAAGAAAAACAAAGGTAAAATCCGACTCTTTCTGGCGACTCAAACAAAACTCCTTTTAGTTCAACAAGTCGTACAAAACCGGTCTACTACTATTGTCCACTCCGAAGTCCATCTGATGTTTTTCAATTACTTCGTTGGCAAAATGAAAACAAGAAACTAATTAAACCATTGACTGTCTACGCTAGTGTCAACGACGCACATAACATGGCAACACAACACTTCCAAACGAATCAACTTTGTATTTTCCGTGTGCATCTTCTCGGATCTGGTATTAATAATGGACCTTTGTTACCAGACAGTCGGCTACAATTAGATGATCCGTTAACCATGTGTTTTGATCGTATGTGGATTTACGTTTACAATTTATAAGAAGAAAAAGGCGACGTCTAATTCAATCGATCGCTTCGATTCTCGAACAATTTCAACAGAAGCAATGATTCAAATTCAGATTGATATCAATCTGCATTTTTTCGGTGTTGTTTTTTATTTTATTTTTTGCATCATATTTATGTGTAATTTTATTTCTGTCGTTGAAGTTCTTTATCCAATGACAGAACATATTTTTTAAACTAGAAGATGAAAAAAAAATGCTAAATATTCTCTTGTGTAATTTTCACCTTGCATTCTGATGACTCAGATGATACGTCTCTCTTTCAGATGACGTGTTCAGTAGTAATTATAAGATAAGACGATAATAGATTGGAAATACTTTTAGAAACTGGAACATTTTTTGTGAAAATAACACATTGGGTGAAAGACGATTACTTTCAGTCTATTTATTAGCATTTTAATTCGACCAACTCGTGATTTCTAATGTTTCTGTCAAGCATAATGATGCGAAGATTATATTCTCGTATGCGACTAAGAACTTATGTTTACGCATGTAGTCATTGCTGTGAATTTTTCTAAATCTGCTGATGTTGATGATTCTATTGATAATCATATACTTTAAATGTAAAATGAACGGATGTTTTTCCTTTTTTTCCTGGTTCGCATTGGTTGAATGTCAATTTCTCCCATCTCGTACTTCCTCGAGCACTAATTACACTCTTCTCCATTTTTTAGATGGAATATTAGTGTCTGTTCCAAAAATACTTTCCTTCTCCGCGTATCAAAATCATCTTCGCTACATTGATTCGAAACGGGTCCTGCAAACGAGCGCCATCTAGGTAGAAAATAAACTGAAGTATTCTTTTTATCAGTAATATTATCGGATGATTTTCTGAAAATGTCATTATTTTCTCGGAAAATTGTTTTTGAAAATAATCTTTCAAATTGCCGAACGACGTCGACCAATGAAAAATACTCGAGAGTCTAAGAATAGAAAAAAAATAATATCTCAGTTTTTTTTATTTATTCTTCTTTGTATATCGACGAACTTGTGTGTATGTGTACAAAACGTCGTCAATAATTGCATTGAACTAAAATTTTTCTTAGCTCATTACATCTTTTGTTCAGAACAAAGTAAAAGTTCATTTCTAACATTCCATATGGCTTCATCTACTGAAAATACAACGCCGGTGAGGATCTCTATCGATCAATTTCATAGCTTTAGACGAGATTTATCATTTAGAATAACGGTGCAACGCCAGAAATGAGCGAAGAAGCAAAACTAAGAGCCAAGTACGGCGGCGCTCTTCCTCGACAACAGAATATGTTGACAAAGAAATTAATGAATAAGGTAACTAAACAAAAGCTGCAACATTCCCCGTAGAAAAACGCCATTTTTTTTAGCCGAAATATTTCGATTCAGGTGATTATAATGTTGCGAAATCACAAGGTAAACTAGCCGCTAGCAAACCTGATCCAACTAGCAAAACCAGCAGTATAAAAGAAGGAACACCATCGATAGTACCCGAAACAATCACTGGTCATGAAATCCCAACCCCGGAAACCGTTATGCCGAGAAAACTATCGTGTGCTGCAACAGTTACGCCGACAACAACACCCATAATTCCTAACAGCTCAATGCCACCAACATCATCAACTCAATAAGACTATTCAAGATTTTATTTGGAAAGAAATCCATTGAAGAACAAAACAAATTCAGAGAAAAAGAAAATAGATGGATTTTTTCCTTATAATCTCTTGCATTACGATTCATTTTTCATACTATCATTATCTTATTTCTTTCTGTGTATATATGTGAGAGTATTTTCGAAAAAAAACAACACGCACAAAGCATAGGACTTGTATCGTTCTAAAAATTTCTTTTTTTTCTCTCAAAGAGTGGCAGAAAATTATAAGATATTTATAGAACTGAATGAAACTAACCCTTGCAAAAACAGATGCATCTGTTCTCTTGAGTAAATCATGTTTACTGGCGGCTATTCATGAAAAATTCTTTTGGTTTTGAGGAAACACTTCACGAGCATCACATTTCCACATCTTGCTATGCTTCGAGACAACCCATGTTCTAATTGAAATAAGATTGTGAAAATTTCAGCATATGGCTTTGTCAATTGCGAGAGAACTCTTTTTCTTCACTTCGAAATAGTAATGATTTATCATCATCACAAAAAATATCTACATTCTCAAGAGATAAAAATTACACAAGAGCAAAATGAGATGAAGATGCAAGAAAGAAAAAAAAAACACACTCGACACAAAAGCATTCGTCGTTTATGTCTGAATAAGTCTGTAATATTAATTGTCACATAACGACGTAATCAACTAGAGAAACGATCCAATTACATTTTGTATAAACTACAATGGAACAAAAACAGACTGTTAGGTTCTTTCAATGTTATCTTAGTACATATGTATAATTGTATGTATATATATATATAGAAGTAGAAATCAAATAAAATGTAGAAGTGATTGTCTCTTTTCCTCATGTTCGATTCTATTAGCTCATTTAGCAAGACAGATGATGATTTGAATACCACGGTGGTGATGCGGTTGAATCTTTCATATTTGGATTTTCTAAACCAATTGGTGGCGTATTGGTACCCATTAAATCAAAACCTTAAATAAAGAAAAGAACATGTTTTTGAGAAAGAGAAAAGTTACTGTTATTACTTTGACTTGGAAACGCGTAGGATGCAGTAGCCATCATTGATCCTCCAAGATGATAATCGAAATGGTGAGATGCTGGTGTATAAGCATGATGAGATTGTTTTTCATGATGAAACATTTGTGCAGCGGCCGCAGCTCCAATAGCTGCTGCTGTAACAACATCCATATCGGGCGGTGTATGATGATGATAACGTCCTGTATTGTTATTGTTATTATTTGTATTATTTGGTGATCCAATTGGATGTAAATGATTGTTTGACATGGTTGATGATGATGATGAAGAAGTTGGAGTTGCTGCTGTTGCTGTTGGAGTTGTTGGATAAGGTGAACGATAAGTATGATGATGATGCATCCAATCGGTATAGTCATTTTGTGATGTTGGAAGATATGTTGGATGAGGATACGATGATGGAGATGTCATAAAAGTCGGCCAAAAGCTACTCGATGGATTCATCATAGTTGAATAACCGTACGATGATGTTCGAGGATCTGAACAAATAGAGTTACTATACTTGAAAATACATTGATAGAATGTTACTCACCTCGTGTTGGTATTGATCTCGTTGAATTGAAGGATATTGGCTGTTTGAGTGCTTTATCAAAATGTTCGTCGATGACTGAACTTGATTCTCCTATATAATATCGGTAGACGATTGAATTTTCTGATGAACATTCGACAATTTTCCCATCTGTGATCGTCGTTCTCGATGAATTCGATCGATGACTCATTCGATGAGATTTATTATCAAATGCATCCGCTGATATTCGTGTTGCTGATTGATCATCATGAAGACTATTTAACATATGATCAAGATGGGCGATCGGTCCATCATTGATGGATGTTGAACTGTTCGCTGAAAGATTTTCATTAACAAGTGTATTAGTACTCATTGAGGATGTACATACATATATAAGTAATCTAAAAGTAATTTCATGAATGTTAGGATCTCTCTAATGTATGAAGAAAACTTAATACTAATTCAAAAAATGTCGAAACATCGATTTTATAGCTTACCAATTATTCGTTGTGTAAGACTAAAAACATATCACAAAGAGGAAAAAAAAGCAGAAAATGATTTCATTTGCTTCTCGATTCGATGTTTTCTTTCGTGATCACGTAGGATTAAATTCCGTTGAGTATATGTCATGGCATGGATATGGGTCTTTTCTCTTCGACGCGTTCGAGAATAATCGTTATCTCTCGTCGTCGTTTGAAATGCATACCATCTTGGAACAACATAACGTCTCATCTTCTTAATTCATACATACGCGCGCGCTTTCACTCTATCTTTCCCACACGAAGTAATTAGAGTGTAAGAGCTTATCGGCTACCAATCGAATTCCATTCCGACAATGCGAAGATGGAAAAAAAAAGAAGAGAAAGAAGAAAAAGAAATAGAGATAGATGATTGATAGGATGCGCGTGTATGTTCATCAGACCAACGCGTTGATCATGTTTGTTTGTTTTACTTTTTGCCACATTCATAATCAATTCGATCATCACCTACACACATATGTACACGAGAGCAGGAGAGATTAATTTTTGTATCATCTTTACCGAATACTAAAACAAACTTTTACGCAACAATTGTGCGCGTGTGTGTGAGGAGTTAAAAGGCAAAGAGACGAACAAAAAAAGTCACTTGATGTTCTCTTTTGATTGAATCTCGTTTGTACAAAACATGTCGCTCATTATTGACACAACTTGATAGTTTTAGTGATGGTGGACATTGACATTTGCTCGAAGATCATTACAGTACACATGTGAAACAACATGCATGTATACAAAAGAGCAAAATTCTTGTCTTTTTTTCTTATTATTAATGATGAATGGTCGACAAAAGAATTACGATATTAGCAAGAATTCCGTCTTCTTCTTCTCATCATGAAAGTTTCATCAAATTGACAAAAATGTTCTCAGCTATATTGCGTTTGTCTTTTGATATTAAATCATCGCGATCGTTTTTGCATAGTTTCAAATCAAATTGAATATGTAAGAACGACTTCCTGCTGTGCTAAAGAGAAAGATCGATGCAATTAAAATGATATTTATGATAATTGATAAACTTGAAGATAGAGTTCATTTTCCTTGATAACATCTTTTCCACACAGCTGTTATAATTAATTCTGAATATTTTAACAAGAAAAAAAGAAACGATGTGCGTCGCTTCGATCGGACAGAACTCATTGCTAATCAATTGAAGCTGAATTCTTCGACTTTGAGAGTCAATTTTCTGATAATTCGAGATAAATTATATTGCCTTTTATCTCCTCGGGTATTTGATACTATCGAAAGATTCTGCTGTGTCTACTCGTGACATTGGTAGTGTTATCCATTGATCTGTCCGTACATAATCAATTGGTAAATAACTCTTTCATTGATTTCGAACAAGTTTTCCATCGGGATAAATATATTTGATGACAATAAAACGTCTATCCATATTTTCAATGCGGTAAACTGACTGGAATGTTCGATAAATTAACGGTAATGGTAGGGATATGCTGATTAAGCCTATTCCGGCCAGAAATGAACAGATAATTTTTCCTGTTGGTGATAATGGAACACGTTTCGCATCTCCAACAGTAATTGTTGATATTGTGACAATGTTAAATAGATCTTCTAAACGTGTCACATGTGCTTGATCCCAATTTTTTTCGACCACTTGAATAATAACACCGAATGTAAAGACAAAGAAGAGAATAATAAAACCAATGGACATAATATGTTGAAAGGCCTTTTCGATTCCGTTGTAAAGAATTTGAAGAGATTTTACATAGTGACAAAGACGAAAGAACCGAAATAAACGTACGAGCATTAAATATTGAAACAATTTTATGTTGAACACGAAATCTCGTTGATCATTCGTCGGAATTAATAGAAAATACATTGAATTTGCGATAAGAACGAAAAGATCGAATATGTTACGAAGTGAAATAAATGTTAACCATCGATGTGGAGAAGAAATAAGACGAAGGATGTATTCGAATGTAATGAAAACTGTACAAACTAAACAAAACCATTGATTGTAGCGTACTGAATGAGTTCGAACTAACTTTGTTCAATTCGATAAATCCATAGATTGTTTGTTTGTGATGGACGAAAGTCAAAAAAAGTGTTGTCGCAGTTGGTTTCATTTTTCGTTAAGAATGTTTTATAACAAATCACTCTTTCCCTTGATAGATGAGGAACAAGTTCCATCGAAATATTCAAACAATAAAGTAATGAAACAATCAAACATATAAATTGAATCTAAATATCAGAAATTCTTTTCTATTGAACGTTCATCTCGACGGTCATCCTTACGAATTGTGTTAGAACTGAATAATCTCTGTATTCCAATGAGATCCAAATGAATCGCAATATTCGATTATAAGGAACAATACGATGGTGAGTGAGAAGTTCTTCGTTAACTTCAGTTTGATAGAATTGGTGAATTGTCTCTTTATCGAATTGAAAATATTTTAATTCTTTAAGAAATATTCTTGGCTCATAAATAGCTGGTGCAATTAGTTTTCCTGTTTCATAATAGTTGAGAATCGCTTCAAATGAAACTATGTGACGATCAACTATATATTGATGTTTAGTCGAGTTATAGAAATTTGCACGACGTTTTGGATCACCTAGGCAAACAGAATAATATCGTTTGAACAGGATGAAATTCAAAGGGAACCTAGAAGAGTATTGGGAAAACGATGAAGAGATTGTTCTCGAATTGAAAATATTGCACCAAGACAGTTGAACTCAATTAGATTCAAATGTGTATTTGTCATTTGTATTTTCACAATGATTTGTTGCGCATTTTTTTTCTATGAAATCTTTGAGAATAAGTTCTGTTCCGAATCACGTTTCAATACACAGCAAAAGAAATTTCGATTGTTTTATGTTCTGTACGAATGTAACAACAATCATCGATGATTTGTCCGAAGATTATATTTAGAATGAAGATACGAATTGTAATAAAATACATTTATTAATGTAAAGAATCAAAAATTTACAACTGATTCAAAAAAACCTAACATAAAATTCCGTCGGTTATTGCAAATTTCATGAGCGATCTTTCTAGCTATGTTCTACGATGATCCTTAGAAAATCTGCAAAATTCATGTTTCGGATTCGAGACCATCGGAATCCAATGCGATTCCGTTACCAGGATTTCATTGGATCCGTCGAATTCCTGTAGGATCCGAGTACGGGATTGATTGACTTGGGAATCTAAGATGAATGTTGATTAGTGATAACAAAAGGCAAATTATTTACCATTCCATTTTTTTTTATTGAACAAACAAACAGCTCGTTCATATCGAGGTTGATTTTGAATTGGGCCATGTGTAGATTGCACCAAAGCATTCAATGTCTATAAAGATCAAGACGTTAGTTTGACTAATTACCGTTGTGATTAGCTTACATTTAAAGTACTGATCGAGTGTACTGAGCTTTTGGATGGTGCCATAGTGTTACAAAATTCATATTTTACGTTGTCGACATTTATTTTGTTATCTACATCACACTCGACTTTTACTGTATTGTTTGCAAGGAACAAGTTGCGAACCGATGACATAATTAGTGAGCTGTTCTCAAGAAGCAATATTTATGTTTATGTCGAAATAGACGAGTTGGATATGAAGTGGATCATCGCGAACACTACGTTTTATATACTTCGGAGACAATGGAACAGAAAAGAATATGATTCACGGCCGTTTAGGCAGAATAAAAATGAAACTACGCAGACGATCGTTGTTTTCATGAAGTAGTTCTAATTAGGGCTGTTAAGCCCAATTTCCTCTCGTCCTATCGGAGTATAATATTAACACTTTCAATTTCACAGCATACTTATTCTATTAACCAACGTTTTCCCTAACGGTGTCAAACAAACTTTCTATTCCGATTTTTTAACCGATATTTTTAGTCAACAGCAACATACAGAAAGCATGCAGTTCATTTATTGAAAAGTTCAATTTATTTATCTGATGCTTTAGCACATTGCTGATACTTTAGTTTGTTTAGCTAAAGTATCTTTCCCTGGTTCGGAATGTTCTGCGTGTTGGACAATATTTCGCACACCACAGTGAATAATCCTGTCGAGCTTCATTTGAAGTGTATGCACTGATTGTTTGTCTGGAAACATTTGAGGAAAACGACAGCTAAAACAAGGAATTCTTTTCAGTAAAACATCCTCAAGAATAGCGTTACCTGAGCCATAAATAGAGATCGAAACAATCAAAAACTTCTTCCAAATGTGCCAAAGCAGTCACTGTGCTTGGGACTTCAAATGAACAATTAATCTCTTTCAAAAGCCATTCCATTGACATTGGCTCATTTTGACCGAACCGTTGGGCATACTAAATCAATCATCAATGAATAAGATGATCTCAACACATCGTTTCCTACTTTCAACAACATGGCACAAACGAATGGTATTCGTCGATTGATGGGAGCACATGAGAATACATAGCGAACCTGAAGTGATAATGGAACGTGTTCGATAATATCTGCTAAATATTTCATATCATCGACATTGCACATGAAATATAAGTTTCGGTCCAGTTGTGAAAGTGTCAAGAAAATGTCCTAAACAAATGCAAAGCTGGTTAGTTATCATTCAACTCAAAGACATTCTCTCAATACAATTAGACTTGAAAGTGATTGTTTCGGTAGATAATAAGCAAACATTTCTATTTGTTCAGCTGTTGGGTGGAGGCCGGCGCGCTGAAAAATTGAACGGATGTACGTTTTCTCTTTTGTTTTTACGAAAGATGATTTACTTCAATAGGCTTTGCTTGCTGATTGAGAATTTCGTTCAATCGCGACATGTCATCCCGACGGAATGTTGTCACTTCACCATCAGGAAATGCACTGCCGAATCTAAAGCTTTCCACTCTAGATACGCATTTATTCTCGCATATTCTTTCGTACCTTCCAGCTCGACCAGCAATTTGCAGAGCTTGAGATGTTGTGACATCGGCTTTTTGTTTATTGCCTTCGTCATTCATCTGTGACTTGACAAGACTGTAGAAGACAACACGCTTGATACTCCTCAAAATGAAAAAAATCATTCTAGATTTGAGAAAGCAGATCGGCTAACGTACAGATTCAAACCCATTCCGATGGCATCTGTAGCGACGAGGATTTTACATTTGTCATTCGGGTCGTTAAAACGCCGCGCCTGTAATAGCTTTGTACTAGGTGGTAATGATCCATAGATGACAGCCACTTCATGACCACGTTTTTCTAATTCCCGAGTAATGTGAAATATGTCGTTTTTGTTGAAACACACGAAGCAATCACCGGATCGGACATTATCAAATGATTCTGATAAAGTCAAATCATTATTTTCATACAAAAAAGGATAACTACTCACCTATAGCGTGATCTAAATGCGATAATTTAGTTAATCGTTGATACTGTCGAACTTCGAAATCGTCTTCGACAGTGAGCAGTAATTCCTCGAGTAGCTTTTGTGTAGATATTTCTCCACAAAGATGAATTTCTTTTGCTTGAAGGCCTGCATGAAACAGAATTGTGATTATTGAAGTATTTGAAATGACGTGTACCAAGTAAAGCGCGTGTCCATGCCCAGCCACGTTGTGGATCACGAATCATTTGAATTTCATCAATAACGGCAACATCATCTATCAAATAAAATTCAGTGACAAACTTGATTACTCTTGTGTACATACAAAGTGTATTTAAATTTGTCATTTCAACAGTGCATGCAACGTGATTTGCTGGTTTACCATCTGTATCGACGAGGCGGCGTTCTTCGCCCGTAACCAAATCACATTTTGTCCCCTACCAAAACAAGAATAGACTCATCCATTCGATGATCGAAGTCAAATCTCTACCGCTGTATTCGTCTTATGGAAAACTTCCGATGCTAATAATTTTAACGGCCCACAGTATACTCCACTGTCACTGTTCATGAAACGTTGTAAAGCATGATATGTCTATGAACACAGAAAGGGTGTGACAATATTTGTAACATTTGATTGGTACTTTTCCACTGTTTGTTGGACCAGCGTGAAATATAATCTTTCGTTTCATACTTCTGGCATCTGGATACCTAAATTCTGTGATATTGAACAAGTGTTTTTCTCGTCAAACAGTATAGTTACCAATTGCCAGGATTACGAAGATCACTTATTTTCCTCAAATCGTCTACACACTTCAAGTGTGGAAACATTTGTCGTGCATGTTGAAAGAAATACGGAAACATCGCAGTTACATTACCTATTGTCATATGAATCAAACAACGAATAAAAGAGCAAACAAATATTTACTAGAACCAGATACAATATCATTTAAGATGAGATTGAAATCATCCGGCAGAGAAGTTGATTGCATACAATATTTGCGGAAACTAACATAAACATTTTTGAAGATTTCTGAGTCGAGACCTTGATCAATAGCAAGTTTTTTAACGTCATCACGTCGATAAAAATCATTGATAATACGAAGAAAATCATCTATTGAACAGAAACGGAATATTGAAAAATAAGAAATATTCGAAAGCTCACTTCGTTTTATGCTCTTATCATATGAGGCACTCGCTCCAATCGCTATGAGATTCTCATATGTTGTCTGTACAACGACATCATCTTTGAGAATCATTGGTTTCACTTGAATTGATCGTCGATGAGAACTCGTTAATCTATCTCTTTGATTCTTTGAATATTTTTCATTTGAATGATGGCGTTGTGTATATAATGTTCGACACAGTATCGATTTTGACTCAAAGCATCTCGACAGAAACTGTCTTTTGATGATAGTGAACATTTTTACTGATAATCTATAAGTAATCAAATTTTGTTATTCGCGTATTGGTCCACTTCACAACAGAGAAACGTTTCCAGCGTGGCTGAAGTCACAACAATCTTTTTCCCTCGTCTCCTTCTGTCTTCTACAACACAACAAAGGAAAGAGCATCTTGTTTATCGTTGAAACTTCTTCGAAAACGAATGAAAAAGACCTTCGTTGTTACATCGCTGTTTATTGTCATGAGACAAAAATCTTCACTCTCATCAGAATCAACAGTGATCGAGATGGTTCGAAAAAAAGAAATAAAAAACAATGAAAGAAAAAAAACGTGTCTTTAGTTCTTCTGTTTATTTGAAACGAATCATCGTCGACATATTTGCTTGAGATTTCTTTCTCGCTGATTTGACTTTATTGCTAAAAGTTGTCTTCATTGCGATCATCATCGACTGCATCCATCACTTCGATATTGTTGCCACCCGTTCCTGGATTGACTCGGATTGATATAGACGAAGATAAATTGGTAAACCGGTGATCTTCATTTGTCCACTTGACATCGATAATAGAGCGAATTTCAATTCCGGAACGAATTTTCCTTCTTCTTTCTGGTACACTGGCGATGGTTCAACGAGATCAAACTTAGCATGTTCGATGACATCCATTCGAGCTCGCTTTTCATCTTCGAAGTGTCTTAATGTAAATGGCATCAATGTAAAACGTTTTCCACTTCGGATAAGAATGTCCGTGATGATTTCACATGTCGTTGATAGATGAAATCTTCGTTCTCGTAAACAGTTGTACGAATGTCGATTTCACGTGGTTTGCGTTCACTGGATCAGATCGAAATTTCCACCGCGTAGACTTCAAGGAAGGCAAATTCTTCTTTTTTCGCTGTCACGTCGTTGCATGTCATTGGGGTTGAGGTAGATTTTCTTTTCGCCATCGATGATTCCACGTAACATTTGAGATAATCTAAACGAATGTATTTCATCGAAAATCGAAAAGTTGATGGTCGAAAATTTCTTATTACTTTGGCGTGGATTTGCAATAATTCGCGTCAATCANACACGTTTCGCATCTCCAACAGTAATTGTTGATATTGTGACAATGTTAAATAGATCTTCTAAACGTGTCACATGTGCTTGATCCCAATTTTTTTCGACCACTTGAATAATAACACCGAATGTAAAGACAAAGAAGAGAATAATAAAACCAATGGACATAATATGTTGAAAAGCCTTTTCGATTCCGTTGTAAAGAATTCGAAGAGATTTTACATAGTGACAAAGACGAAAGAATCGAAATAGACGTACGAGCATTAAATATTGAAACAATTTTATGTCGAACACGAAATCTCGTTGATCATTCGTCGGAATTAATAGAAAATACATTGAATTTGCGACAAGAACGAAAAGATCGAATATGTTACGAAGTGAAATAAATGTTAACCATCGGTGTGGAGAAGAAACAAGACGAAGGATGTATTCGAATGTAATGAAAACTGTACAAACTAAACAAAATCGTTGATTGTAGCGTACTGAATGAGTTCGAACTAACTTTGCTCAATTCGATAAATCCATAGATTATTTGTTTGTGATGGACGAAAGTCAAAAAAAGTGTTGTCGCAGTTAGTTTCATTTTTCGTTAAGAGTGTTTTATAACAAATCACTCTTTCCCTTGATAGATGCGGAACAAGTTCCATCGAAATACTCAAACAATAAAGTAATGAAACAATCAAACATATAAATTGAATCTAAATATGAGAAATTCTTTTACATTGAACGTTCATCTCGATGGCCATCCTTACGAATTGTGTTAGAACTGAATAATCTCTGTATTCCAATGAGATCCAAATGAATCGCAATATTCGATTATAAGGAATAATACGATGGTGAGTGAGAAGTTCTTCGTTAACTTCAGTTTGATAGAATTGCTGAATTGTCTCTTTATCGATTTGAAAATATTTTAATTCTTTAAGAAATATTCTTGGCTCGTAAATAGCTGGTGCAATTAGTTTTCCTGTTTCATAATAGTTGAGAATTGCTTCAAATGAAACTATGTGACGATCAACTATATATTGATGTTTAGTAGAGTTATAGAAATTTGCACGACGTTTTGGATCACCTAGGCAAACAGAATAATACCATTTGAACAAAATGAAATTCAAAGGCAACCTAGAAGTGTATTGGGAAAACGATGAAGAGATTGTTCTCGAATTAGAAATATTGCACCAAGACAGTTGAACTCAATTAGATTCGAATGTGTATTTGTCATCTGTATTTTCACAATGATTTGTTGCGCATTTTTTTTCTATGAAATCTTTGAGAATAAGTTCTGTTCCGAATCACGTTTCGATACACAGCAAAAGAAATTTCGATTGTTTTATGTTCTGTACGAATTTAACAGCAATCATCGATGATTATATTTAGAATGAAAGATACGAATTGTAATAAGATACATTTATTAATGTAAAGAATCAAAAATTTACAACCGATTTAAAAAAACCGAACATAAAATTCCGTTAGAAGTTGATAAAGGCAATAATTTCAAAAGAAATGTGTAAATAACAGCGACTTGAAATAACATAACGAAATTATGTTTATTGAAATAAAATAAAAGAAGAATCGACGTTTCGATGATCTNGCATACTCCACTTTGTTTCAACTGGTCCATTAATGTCGTTTCAAGATGAGCCATGAATATGTCAGCAATCACTGGTGCCAATGGAGCACCCATTGCTACTCCATTGTGTTGTACATACATCTTCTTGTCGAACAAGAAATTTGTTTCTGATGTGGCTGTTCGCAGGAGTATTTCGAAGTCTCTTCTTTTCTTACACGCTCTACAGTGCTTTGTTCTAGGACGAGGTGGACATATTCTTGAACAAGCTGGGTACATTTGATCGAGGATGTAATTAATTGTGTAAGTTAATGGTACATTTGTGAAGAGACTTGTCACATCGAAAGAGATCATCGTTTTGGTTAGGTTTGTTGATAATTTGATTTTATTGACAAAATCGAATGTATCTTTGACAACGTATGGGCTGTTGCGAAGGTGAGATAATCGACTTGTCAACATTTTACCTAAACCATAACCAACTGTTTTCGTAGCTGACATGACAGGTCTTAATGGATTGTTTGCTTTGTGCAGTTTTGGTAGACCATACAGACGAGCTGCTCTGGAACCTACAGGTCTTGCGATGTTGTATTCCTCGTTGGTGATGAAACCTTCTTTCTTCAGTCTTAGCAGCGTACGGGTCAGTCGATCTTCGTTGATGATAGTTGGATCATGATCGATGACAGTGAATGTTGATGGATCATTCAATATTGTTTCCATCTTCTGTACATATTCAGATCTATCCATTAATACAACTCCACGACCCTTGTCAGGTCTTGTGATGACAATAGACTGATCTTTTGCTAATGACCGTAGGATTCCAAACGTTCTTTGATGCTCTTCGCCGACTTGTTTTAGCTCGGTTTCTGCCATTTTCGTGATAGAATTAGCCGTTGAGCGGAATTGAGAAGCAGCGTTCAACTGTACCGATGATAGTTGATGAACCACATTCTCATTAGCATTCTTTTGCTCATAATGACGATACTCTGTACGTAGATTGAGTAGTCGAGCATAGAAATATTCAACGTTGCAGACGAAACGCGAATGATCAAATCTATTGGAAGGATACACATGATGAAGACCATTGATGAGTGCGTTTCGCTCTTCAGTATTCAGAGTTCGACTTGACAGATTGGTTATTGGATCAATTGTTGATCGACGATCTAATTTACTTACTTTCTTGCACCTTAACTTGTTCAAATTAGATAAATGTTGAGTTTCGACTCGTTCTCTTCGTTTTGCAACGATTTGTTCAGCTATCGAGCGAAGTCGAATACTAATTAACCGAGGAACACATTGATTGAATTCTTGTAATAATCGATTAGAATGTCTGTGTGATTGAGTCAGCAAACGTTTTTTAAATTTCATCTCTCCTTGAAGAACAGCTTCAGCACATTGTCGAGCAACCTTCGAGTTACGTAGATATGGATTCGCCAAACGAATTCGAGCAAATGTAGGAATAAGCTCTTCTCTCTTGCATGTTCGAATAAATGTCAAATCACATCGTAGTTTGTCTAATTGTAGACGAGTTTTAACAAACTCGCCGTAAAGTTTCATTGTTGAAGCCCCATAATGTCGCCATAGATATTGATAAACATTAGAAGTTGATAAAGGCAATAATTTCAAAAGAAATGTGTAAATAACAGCGACTTGAAATAACATAACGAAATTATGTTTATTGAAATAAAATAAAAGAAGAATCGACGTTTCGATGATCTAAGTCATCATTATCAAGATAATATGAGAAAGCGTTAGAGAATCGCCAGTATATATAGCAATGGATGAGACAATGGGTAGTAATGAACAATTAGAGAAAGTAAACATATGAGTGGATTATTAAGGAACTAGCTCTTAGACCAATTGCAAGTGCTCTCTTAATTGACCAATGTAAGTTTGCCTCTATTTAACGAAAAGTAGTATGGACTAGTCCGTTTCCCGAGATACGCGTTATTTTCACTCACACGTCAATTGTAGTCATATAATCCTCAAGCTGTACCAGACTGTTCAGTGGACTAATGATGTGTAACATCGATAGTAGCGGGTTCGAATCCCGCTCTGGTACTACTATTTATTCTTCGGAATAAAGGTCCGGGTTCGATCCCATCCAACTTACCGGTCCGCGTAATACTCCTGGAATAAAAGTTATATTCCTGTGGTTAGGACCACAAAACTCAATGTGGGTACTGAGCTGTACGGATAAACCTTTTTATCGTTGAAAATAGCTCGTACAATAAAAAAGATGGGTAAAGAACCCGGATGCGCAAGCGGTTAGCGCGGTAAAGGGGTGGGTTTTGTTATCTTTTCTCTTCTTCTATGACATCTTTTACTATGTCCATCTCGATAGATGAGTCCTAGAACAAAGCACTGTAGAGCGTGTAAGAAAAGAAGAGACTTCGAAATACTCCTGCGAACAGCCACATCAGAAACAAATTTCTTGTTCGACAAGAAGATGTATGTACAACACAATGG